AAAAAAAAAAAAAAACTAAAGGTTAGATGCCGGGAACCCAGTCAGTGTGGCCCAGTGGTGGTGGTGGTGGTGTGGGGTAAGCCCACTTCTCAGCACCAAACAAAGGGCGACAACAAACCCCTCTGTAGTTAGATGCACATTGTTCACTGCTATTTTTAAAGGTTTTTTTTTTCAAGTTTTAAGTGTGTGTGTGTGTGTGTGTGTGTGTGTGTGTTCGTGTGTTCATGTTCATGCAGGTGCACATGGGAGCATGCACATTTGAGTGCAGATAGCTGCAGAATCCAGACAAGGGTGTGAGATCCCTTAGAGCTGGATTTGTACGTGGTTGTCAGCAGCCCCACGTGGGTACTGGAAACTGAACTGGGGCCTCTTCAGGAGCAGTACATGCTCTTAACCCCTGAGCCATCACTTCAGGCACTTGAGTTACTGTCATGAATCAGTCCTTATACCCTGCCCTGGTTGATATACATACATCTATATCTATATATAATACGCACATGTGATGTTCACATGCTATGGATATGAAGGTCATTTTTTACATACTTAAGCCCAAATCTTCTAATAATTTTATCATTTTTAATGGTTTTCAGTTGATTTTTGAGTCTTTGAAGCAAAACAATTTGTACTCCTTTTAAACAACGATATTTTCTCTTTTGGACTTTGGTAGTTTTCATTTCCTTTCCCTTTTCCAGGTTTGTTGTTAGTTTCCAGAACCAGGGTTCACAGCTAGGGGAAGCCTACCTCTCCAGCAGGTGACGCCTGAGGACATTTCTGTTCTGGGACCTTCTGCGTGTGATAGGAATTCTTTTCTTTTTTCTTTTTTCTTTTTTTGGTTTTTCGAGACAGGGTTTCTCTGTGTAGTTTTGCGCCTTTCCTGGATCTCACTTGGTAGCCCAGGCTGGCCTCGAACTCACAGCGATCCGCCTGGCTCTGCCTCCTGAGTGCTGGGATTAAAGGCATGCGCCACCACTGCCCAGCATGATAGGAATTCTAATGGCTTCCTGTGCCAGGAGCCATGAGTGTGTTCTGCACAGGACACCCCCAGGGAAGAGTTCTCTCACACAGATGCCATAATGCCCATATGGAGGATTCTAGAACCATATCCAATTATTAGTGATTATGGGCATTGTTAATGTAAAAGCTTTTCAAATCCTGCAAAGATGCCAGTCTAAACAAGCATCCAAATTCCTATGTGTTTTCAGTTTTCCCAAATGCTTTTTCTATTCCTATAAAGGCCATCTTGGCTGGCTGTGGTGGCCACACCCTTAATCCCAGCAGGCCAGCAAAAGCAGGCTTATCTCTGAGTTTGAAGCCAGCCTGGTCTACAGAGCGAGTTCCATCCAGGCTAGCCAAAAGTAGTGTGTCTTCCTTCCGTGCCTAGTAAGAGAATATTTATCGTGTGATTTCGCGGTCTTTCCCATCCCCTAGCTCCCCACTGTGTCTGGCATGCCGGTCCTTCCATGTGCTTCTCAGCGCTGGTTCTCTGTTGATCTGCATGATTTCCGTTCTCAGTTTTAGGTATGAGCATTTCATAAAATGACCTGTACCTTCTTATGTATTCAAAGACACTGAAAATAACATTTAAATGGCCTACATGTGAAACCTTCTAAACCTGAGGCTTTGGGGAAAGCTAAGCTTGAACAACCTTCTGTTTATGATTTAATAAGTGATTTGTTTAGTTTTCAATGGCCTTAGAAGCCAAGTTCCATAAATTATATTTTCTTAGAAAATTGTTCAATCCATGTTTTTAAACTTACTTAGATACAACTGACTGAAGTAATTGATTACTCTCTTAGTTTCTTATGTCTTCAGTTCCTTAATGTATCTTTTCCACTAATTTCTTGACTAGATAATTTTTGTAGTTCTTGTTTTTTTTTTAAAGGAAAACATTTTTTATTTATTTTTAAATTACACTCATGATATTAATCACATTTGTGGTATTCATAGATTACATTCGCAGTATTCATTCAAATATATATATATATATACATATATATATTTAAATTTTTTTAATTTTAAATGTTGAATGTCATTTCTTGAAGGGAGTAGGAGGTCTTAAATACAGGCTTACAGCACAATGGGAGGACCCCGGAGGGCAAAAGTTCGCTACTGATGTTTTACAATCTTGCATCTAAGCTGTTAACGCCCATTATTCAGGATACACAGACAAGGAACTTCCCTTA